CACTCAGCATGGAATACCCATTATTTCCCCACAATGTGCAACCATTATTTCCCCACAATGTGCAACCATTATTTCCCCACCATGTGCACACACACATCCCAGGTGCGAGGGATATACGTTTCAAAGTTATGAAATTTCGCAGTAACACATACTAAGTCCAGTTTGCACACGCGCGCGCACTCACGTACTCACGCATTGCAAACACACGCGGAAAACAACACACTCAAAGACTTGAGTGCAGAATAAAAATTATGAAAGCTTCGCCAAACAAATCTAAGTGGAAGCTTTAATCTATAAAAGCTTTTGCTTTCAGCTGGGAAAGACGAAGAAACAAACTTTGGATCTGACGAAAACAGAAAAATAAGTTCTCTTTAAAGCTTTGTGTGAATTTTAATGGCTTTCTTTGTTGTAATTAAAAAGAACCAAACTAAATGTCACACCTTCAAAAGTTTATCATTATTTTCTTCCTTGCTCGGGAGGACGAGTTTATTTTTGTAGTTTTTCGTATTTAAATTGTTAATTTGGCTTAATGGCTTAAGAATAGTTTAGTAAATGGGTAAATACATGCTTTAATAGACACCTGAATCTAGCTCCAAAAACAATATTTAACTATAAGAATAAAGTACGCAACAGGATATTAATGAGAAATTGACAGTGCTTTAAGGCAAATTTATAAAACTTAATGTTATAACTCCCCCTTAATAAACTAGGTAATGAAACCGTCTTTGGCGTGAATTTCCGATAATGGGGGTAAAGATTAGGCATTACAATGTAATGTGCAGGCGTTCCCGAGAGCAATCAACGCAGGCCCATTATTCTTGGCCTCCTGGAATAGTGTCCCCTTGAAGCAGTTGTTGGGAACCCTACATTATTCCTTCCTAAAGACTTCACAAGGAAATTCAATTCGCCTCGCGACCGCTGATCGATGATATTGCAGCACCACGAGTTAAAGAAATATATTCTCCTAAAGCTTGATATAATTCCAAGTAAATATATAACCCCCCTCAACCTCTCCGTTGCATTTTGATGTCTGTCATAATGTTTAAGGTATCGACTGATACTTGTAATACAATTTATGTAAATTTATGTAAATTAGGTGATGTTACCGGACGCCTCTCTGCGTAGACTTGAAGTACTATCACAGCCCATCAACCAGGAAGCCTGGTCAAAGACCGGGCCGCGGGGACAGTGATTCCCGAAACCAGCAACAAAAGTTTGGCTGGTTCCGAAACACCACCTTCCTGTTATTTTAGTGTAATGAGCTACACGGGTTGAAGAAACACACATGTAACATTGTAACATAAAATATCAATGCTCTTGCCACACAAAGGATCAAACCAATGCTGTTTTTTTCAGATTTAGCTACTCAGAACGAAGTGTCCATGTAGCACGGGCTATGGTGAGCCCGTAAAAACACCAATGCTTTGGACATCAGTTTGCGAAATAAAATTTGAGTAATTTTATTGTTCTTTAATAATAATAAAATAGTATTTAATAATAATAATATTCACTTAAAATGCTTCGAAAATATTTTAAGTGAAGTTAATTTAGTTTGTAAAATGCTAAATGTTTATATACATGTGTGTGGACGCTCACGTGTGAATATATATGTGTGTGTGTGTGTGTGCGCGCGTATATATATATATATATATATATATATATATATATATATATATATATATATATATATATATATATATATATATATATGTCGTACCTAGTAGCCAGAACGCACTTCTCAGCCTACTATGCAAGGCCCGATTTGCCTAATAAGCCAAGTTTTCATGAATTAATATATTTTCTCTAATTTTTTCTTATGAAATGATAAAGCTACCCATTTCATTATGTATGAGGTCAATTTTTTTTAATTGGAGTTAAAATTAACGTAGATATATGACCGAACCTAATCAACCCTACCTAACCTAACCTAATCTATCTTTATAGGTTAGGTTAGGTTAGGTAGCCGAAAAAGTTAGGTTAGGTTAGGTTAGGTAGGTTAGGTAGATCGAAAAACAATTAATTCATGAAAACTTGGCTTATTAGGCAAATCGGGCCTTGCATAGTAGGCTGAGAAGTGAGTTCTGGCTACTAGGTACGACATATATATATATATATATATATATATATATATATATATATATATATATATATATATATATATATATATATATATATATTTCATTGAAATATGACCGCATATTCTGTATTTATTATTTTCTGGTTTAGGGCTTCTATCCCTCTAACTATTTTCTTAGCATCAGGGCTTAATTGGAATAGGAGTTCTCCAAAACTCATTTTCGTACTTTTAAGGTGAAGAAAAGAAGTGATTTACTATAGAGTGTATTACACTTATTTGTATAATTTGCACGACGTTTCGAACCTCCATGGTTCATTCTCAAGTGAACAATCTTACAATACTAGTTGATTTGCATTAGGTCAGGTGATAATACAATGAAGGTGAAAAACATGGGGGGATACATAAGGGATAAACATAGGGGCTGCAGAAGGCTTATTGGCCCATACGAGGCATCTCCTATCCAAACACAAAGATTAATCCAGTGCTGGATTATAATCCAGCCATAAAATAAACCAGAATAATAAACCATATAATAAACCAGAAAATTTCTCATAGTTTGTGATGAGTTCCGTCGACTGATGTCCCTTTTTATTTTTTTAAATATTAGGCTATTTATTTTTTTAACTGGCACAGTTAAAGCATTCACAATTCCTTTGAAATAATTCTTGTGTATGTCTTCATAGAAAATGTTGTATTTGCAATGATTTCAATTGCCATATGTGATGACATTCGTTTAGAGTTATAATCGATACCACTCTGTGATGTTGAGTTCTTGCACTGCTATTCGTTGCCCTATTGATTCGGAAAGACCTGGGTTCGAATCCCAGGAAGGGAGGGGGAACAATTGGACACCATTCCTCCACCGTTCTTCCACCTGTACACCAATACAGAATACAGGACGACGTGCATGTGAATCGAACAACAGTTCAGACTCTTAGGTGGCCAAGACACTCTAATTTGTAACTGATCACGCGTAAATGATGACAATAAAATATTTATTTTCTCATTTTGTTTGACAGGAACACTAGTTTTTAGTTTACCAGATTTTGCGATATATATATATATATATATATATATATATATATATATATATATATATATATATATATATATATATATATATGCGAACAAGCCTGAATGGTCCCCAGGACAATATGCAACTGAAAACTCACACCCCAGAAGTGACTCGAACCCATACTCCCAGATGCCACGCAACTGGTATGTACAAGACGCCTTAATCCACTTGACCATCACGACCGGACAAAATGAGGTGATAGCCGAGGCTATTTGAACCACCCCACCGCCGGCACTCGGATAGTAATCTTGGGCATAGCATTTTACCAAATCACCTCATTCTTTGGGGCACACGTGAGGAACACAAATGCGAACAAGCCTGAATGGTCCCCAGGACAATATGCAACTGAAAACTCACACCCCAGAAGTGACTCGAACCCATACTCCCAGATGCCACGCAACTGGTATGTACAAGACGCCTTAATCCACTTGACCATCACGACCGGACAAAATGAGGTGATAGCCGAGGCTATTTGAACCACCCCACCGCCGGCACTCGGATAGTATGATCTCAATATATATATATATATATATAGATGATCTCAATATATATATATATATATATATATATATATATATATATATATATATATATATATATATATATCTGAAAACTCACACCCCAGAAGTGACTCGAACCCATACTGCCAGGAGCAACGCAACTGTTATGTACAGGACGCCTTGATTAAGGCGTCCTGGCAGTATGGGTTCGAGTCACTTCTGGGGTGTGAGTTTTCAGATATATATTTTATATATATATATATATATATATATATATATATATATATATATGTCGTACCTAGTAGCCAGAACTCACTTCTCAGCCTACTATTCAAGGCCCGATTTGCCTAATAAGCCAAGTTTTCCTGAATTTATATATTTACTATAATTTTTTTCTTATGAAATGATAAAGCAACCCTTTTCTCTATGTATGAGGTCAATTTTTTTTTATTGGAGTTAAAATTAACGTAGATATATGACCGAACCTAACCAACCCTACCTAACCTAACCTATATTTATAGGTAAGGTTAGGTTAGGTAGCCAAAAAAGCTAGGTTAGGTTAGGTAGGTTAGGTAGACGAAAAAACATTAATTCATGAAAACTTGGCTTATTAGGCAAATCGGGCCTTGAATAGTAGGCTGAGAAGTGCGTTCTGGCTATTAGGTACGACATATATATATATATATATATATATATATATATATATATATTAATAATATAATCGAATTACACACCCCCACACACAATTCCAACCCCCCCACACACACGCACAAACCCGGAGTGACAACATTGGCAATTAGCATAGTAATTAGGATAAGACACTAAGCCAAGCAACAAATTGGCTGTATATACTAGCGACATAAACTGCTACATATCCAACCAGACTCAGGCTATAAACAATCTAGCCACGTAAACAGGTTGACGAACCATAAACACATATATTGACCAATCCACACACTAGAAAATGAAGGGACGACGACGTTTCGGTCCTTCCTGGACCATTCTCAAGTCGCTCAATCGACTTAATCTCAATCGACTACTTCTCAATCGACTTGAAAATGGTCCGAAACGTCGTCGTCCCTCATTTTCTAGTGTGTGGATTGGTCAACATACTTCAGCCACGTTATTGTGACTCATCGCCTGCATAAACACATACGCACCGGATATTCAGATCAATACTAGAGAAATGACCTTGAAAACACAGTGCTTCAAGACTACAACGAAATGTGAAAAGCAATTAAACAATATTTAATATTTACAATGAATATAATGGTGATTAGCTTAATAATAATAAATTGGATTTTTTTTGTCACGTTCGATAATTGTGAAAAGGAAATTATCTGCTTACCTTTGAAGTTACGTGGATCGATTCTTTAGTGAGTTGAGTTTCGGTTCCCGTGATGTCTTGCTTTGTCAACACTTAAGCAGTAATCTGATTCACTTGTTGCCAAGCTAAGGCAATACGAGGAACGTCAGTTTTAATGTCTGAGCTGTTTTTTTCCTTTTGACGTCTCCTTGAGATTATGAATAACATCGATATTGTCTCGTCAGTGGCCTGGAGGTGTCATCCACCTTGACCTTGTAGAGGTCAGGAGGAGGAGGAGGAAGCAGGCACTGTGGGTCAAGCTGACCCATGGCTTTAACCTTCCTTCCTCGTCCTCAGTTCCAGCTACATCTTTCCTTTCATGTGGAATTTTGCACCTTTTTTTCTATCTACTTCCCCCCTTTATCTTGGGTTCTTTTCTAGAGACATTGTAGAACTGTGTTTTATTCACTTTATTTACCCCATTATTGTTTCCGGGTCTGTCGAGGGTTACAAATTCACGTGACAAAGTTAGCTGTATCAGTCTCCAAATTTGTCTTTGGGTGCATATAGAGAGAGATCAGAGTTTAACTGAGTTTTATTCAAATCATAACCTGTATATCAATTTACCCTCCTTAACCATTTCTGTATTCAAAATAATATTTGTATTTATGCGATGTAAACCAAACAATTTAAGGAATAATTTACGAAATATAAACAATGAAAATTACAAAAGTAACGTCTTGATAATCTGTCATAAGAGAGTGAGAGAGAGAGAGAGAGAGAGAGAGAGTGAAAGAGAGAGAGAGTACAGGGTAAATAAGCATTTATATACTAAAACCAGTTCTCTGTTGCCTACTTGACGTTCGTTTAACAAGGCAAACACCAACATACGGATCGTTCTCGTAACTGTGTAATATAACTCCTCATTATCCGCGTTACCTGGGACACTATAGCTGGCAGATGATCGCGAGTGAGGAAGGTAACAACGTTCTCATGTCAAGTGTTTTATTTGTGCGGGTGAGAGCGTTCTAGTCAATTGTCTCATGTTGTGCATAATGAAATTTAAAATTTATATTGACAGGAATGATTTGTTATTTTAAAACACAATGAAATCACGAAATGATGCATCTGAGAATATATTTGGGTTGTACAATGAGATCGAATCAGCTTTAATGACATGGGCCTGAGAAGCCCTGAGAGATGCTGGTTCGATTCCATTGTATGGTTTCAATACTAAATTTACTGCAGTGCGAAATGAAACTAGCATTAATAGTGCACGTGACGATTAAGTGACCTTGTTGTATACCTGCTTTGGTTCGTGAGGGTACGAGGTCTCGTGTGGGTACGAGAGAGTGGAGAGTGGCTAGTCCGTCATAGCCAAGAGTTACCATTGGCTTGGGTCACCAGATCATCACTAGAGGTTTGGTGACCTATCGGGTCATTGAACACCAAAAGGATGTGAGCCAATTGACAAGTTGTGTAAAGGTTAAGTCACTTTCCATGAAGTCTCATGTGACACAGAATAGTGAAAAACTAATTATTTTTCCAGTAGGGTAAAAGAAAGAGAGAGAGAGAGAGAGAGAGAGAGAGAGAGAGAGAGAGAGAGACGGGAGGGGGGAGAAGGAATGGGGGATTCAACAAGTTCCTTCAGTTATGGAAATTAACTGCCAAAGAAAGGTGACTGTTTTCATGAATTTTCTTTTTTTTCCTTTTTCCTGTGATTGGTATACGTAATAATTGGTTCCCATTTGGAAAAACAAAACACACACACGACGACAATTAAGTAAAGCGAACTTTGTTATTGCCGGATAAAGTTTTTGTCAACTATGTCATGGTTCTGTTGTAATGCAGAGTCCTATACATTACAGTTTTCATTCATCATGCAAATTATACATTTATTACTGATATTGACTTTTTTTCATTCTAAATATTTTCTTCACTTATTCGTGGACACAATTTAATCACCATAAGTTTTTTTTTTTTTTATATAATTTAACTGTTTCATGAAGTTAAATACGGTAGATGTAGCGGCCGTGATTGTAGCGTGGTTGAGTGTGGAGTGAGGCGCGGCTTCGAGGGTGACGGAGGGTAGTGAGAGTGAGTGAGTGAGAGTGAGAGCAGGAGCCGCACGCAACCACCTGCCTCCAGCCTCGCCTGAGGTGCTCTGATCAACACTGGCTGGCTCTGTGCGTGTGTGTGTGTCTGACCTCCCACACCCACCACCCACCATCACGCACGCGCGTGTGTTTCTGTCTTCCCAAACACTTTGCAACCCCTCATATATCGCCTTTGGCACTATTATTCTCCTCCCCCCTTCCTTCATCCATAAATCCCTCATCTTTCTACCTCGCCTTAAATCTGTAAATCTCTTCCATCACCATTAAATCCCTGATTTCACTCCCTCTCCTTAAATCCCCAAATTTTCACCCGCTCCTAAATCCTAAGTTTTCCACTCTCTTAAATCCCCAAATTTTCACCCGCTCCTAAATCCTAAGTTTTCCACGCTCTTAAATCCCCAAATTTCCCGGCTCTTAAATCCCCAATTGTCCACGCCCACTCCTAAATCCCTATTTCTTCACGCTCGCCCTATTACGTGACACCCTCACGCTCGTTCCAAACCCCTCACCCTAGTTTCTTCTCACCAATTATCAACTCATTGTTTCATTCCGTTTATTAATCATCTGAGTTTCCCTTCAGACCCGCCATTATTTCATACGCGGCCCCATTAGTTCTTACCTTCCCCATTACTTCTCATTTCTCTCTCTTTTTCTTACGCACCTCTTCAACACTTCCTCCTTAATATTGCTTTATTATTTCTTCGTCCTCCATTACTTTTTTTACGCTCTATTACTTCCTCCGCCACCATTAGATCTTTCGCCCCCTCCATTATTTTCTACTCCATCACGTCCTCTGCCCCCCCTCTCCATCATGTCCTCTGCCCCCCTCTCCATCACGTCCTCTGCCCCCCCTCTCCATCACGTCCTCTGCCCCCCTCTCCACCACGCCCTCGGCCCCCCTCTCCACCACGCCCTCGGCCCCCCCTCTCCACCACGCCCTCGGCCCCCCTCTCCACCACGCCCTCGGCCCCCCTCTCCACCACGCCCTCGGCCCCCCTCTCCACCACGCCCTCGGCCCCCCTCTCCACCACGCCCTCGGCCCCCCTCTCCACCACGCCCTCGGCCCCCCTCTCCACCACGCCCTCGGCGGGCCCCCCTCCACCACGCCCTCGGGGGGGCCCCCTCCACCACGCCCTCGGGGGGCCCCCCTCCACCACGCCCTCGGGGGGCCCCCCTCCACCACGCCCTCGGGGGGCCCCCTCTCCACCACGCCGTCGGGGGGCCCCCCCTCCACCACGCCCTTGGGGGGCCCCCCTCCACCACGCCCTCGGGGGGCCCCCCTCCACCACGCCCTCGGGGGGCCCCCCTCCACCACGCCCTCGGGGGGCCCCCCTCCACCACGCCCTCGGGGGCCCCCCCTCCACCACGCCCTCGGGGGGGTCCCCCCTCCACCACGCCCTCGGGGGCCCCCCTCCACCACGCCCTCGGGGGGGCCCCCCCTCCACCACGCCCTCGGGGGCCCCCCTCCACCACGCCCTCGGGGGGCCCCCCATCTACCACGCCCTCGGCCTGCCCCCTCCACCACCACGCCCTCGGCCTGCCCCCTCCACCACCACGCCCTCGGCCTGCCCCCTCCACCACCACGCCCTCGGCCCGCCCCCTCCACCACCACGCCCTCGGCCCGCCCCCTCCACCACCACGCCCTCGGCCCGCCCCCTCCACCACCACGCCCTCGGCCCGCCCCCTCCACCACCACGCCCTCGGCCCGCCCCCTCCACCACCACGCCCTCGGCCCGCCCCCTCCACCACCACGCCCTCGGCCCGCCCCCTCCACCACCACGCCCTCGACCCGCCCCCTCCACCACCACGCCCTCGGCCCGCCCCCTCCACCACCACGCCCTCGGCCCGCCCCCTCCACCACCACGCCCTCGGCCCGCCCCCTCCACCACCACGCCCTCGGCCCGCCCCCTCCACCACCACGCCCTCGGCCCGCCCCCTCCACCACCACGCCCTCGGCCCGCCCCCTCCACCACCACGCCCTCGGCCCGCCCCCCTCCACCACCACGCCCTCGGCCCGCCCCCTCCACCACCACGCCCTCGGCCCGCCCCCTCCACCACCACGCCCTCGGCCCGCCCCCTCCACCACCACGCCCTCGGCCCGCCCCCTCCACCACCACGCCCTCGGCCCGCCCCCTCCACCACCACGCCCTCGGCCCGCCCCCTCCACCACCACGCCCTCGGCCCGCCCCCTCCACCACCACGCCCTCGGCCCGCCCCCTCCACCACCACGCCCTCGGCCCGCCCCCTCCACCACCACGCCCTCGGCCCGCCCCCTCCACCACCACGCCCTCGGCCCGCCCCCTCCACCACCACGCCCTCGGCCCGCCCCCTCCACCACCACGCCCTCGGCCCGCCCCCTCCACCACCACGCCCTCGGCCCGCCCCCTCCACCACCACGCCCTCGGCCCGCCCTCCCTCTACCACGCCCTCGGCCCGCCCCCTCTCTACCACGCCCTCGGCCCGCCCCCTCTCTACCACGCCCTCGGCCCGCCCCCTCTCTACCACGCCCTCGGCCCGCCCCCTCTCTACCACGCCCTCGGCCCGCCCCCTCTCTACCACGCCCTCGGGCCCCCTTTTCACCACGCCCTCGGGCCCCCTCTCCACCACGCCCTCGGGCCCCCTCTCCACCACGCCCTCGGGCCCCCCTCTCCACCACGCCCTCGGGCCCCCTCTCCACCACGCCCTCGGGCCCCCTCTCCACCACGCCCTCGGGCCCCCTCTCCATTACGCCCTCGGGCCCCCTCTCCACCACGCCCTCGGGCCCCCTCTCCACCACGCCCTCGGGGCGCCCCCTCCACCACGCCCTCCTATTTGGTACCGTCTAGTGGGTCGCAGTTCCCATTTACTATTTAATCTAAGGTGACCTTTATACGAGGCTGTTTAGGGAGAAATGACCTTTCTTCAGGGGTCAACAGTGGTGGTCATACCATTTCTGGGACTCGAAAGTAAACTTTATTACACCAGGAGGTTTACATTTCAATATTCAGTTTTGCCTAATTTTATTAATTGTATTCTTAATACATTTTAAGTGACATGTTTTTAAGCTATAGTTCTGTGTAACGTTACTCGGCGGCATCTTCAGTCATACTAACTCAAAATCAACATGAACTACCAGGGGGATGTTATATACTTTTGAGGTTGGTAGAAAGATGGATCCTTTTTATTTTATGTGGTCAGGTAAGATGGCATCTGGTAGAGCTTTTGTCATGTACGTTGACGAAGCTTCATAGGTCACGACCCCCAGCTAAACCTTCATCAGTGAAGCCAATTGATGATATACCATTGGGGAAAAGTCAATATTTAATAAGTCAATATTGACTTATTAAATATGTGCATAGGTGACATACTTAACATAATAGTTTCCCTTGAAAAGCTTCATAGAAAACACCGACCTTACCTAACCTACTTAGTATGTTAAGATAAGCATCTTATTGCTTCGTAATTACAATTATTACCTAACCTATACCTATAATAGGTTAAGTAACAATTGTAATTGCGAAGCTATAAAATGCTTATTTTAA